AAAAAAAAAATCACATACATCTTCACAATCCACAGCTTACTCTTTAACCCCCAGCATACAAATAAATACTATTCTGCACTTATTCTGGTAAAATCACTCAAAGCATTGACTTACAATATGTGAGATGCACATGACATCACTGTTTAGCACTGGCAACAGCAGGTGTCACATATATCAGCACTTCTAGCATCAGGTTGTCTGCAGATGTCCATTCTATCCTGGGAGTAGTCATTCACCTCACTGAAGCCTAGTCCTGCAAACACAGATTCCAACACACACATATATGCAACTTCTTTAAGGTTGAGTGGCTCAGACTCAGGTACTTTCCCAAAACATACAAATAATGAGTGCAGTTTCTTAGAGAGAGAGAAGTTCAGACAATATTCAACATTATTCTTTAATATCCAGGGATGGAAAACAAAGTAAATGTGTTAACTATGAGTTGGTTACGTAGCTGAGGGGCCCTGATGACCTTAATTGTGACATAGGCTGTCAAAGAGGGCATGAGGAGTAAATATATGTTTAGCATATGGAGTGAACCTTCTGAAAAACAAGAAGAGACCACATTCCAGTAACAGAATACATCTGTGGCTAACTACTAAGATATCATATACTCATAACTTTATTCAGTCAACTAAAATCTAAGACGTTAAATACTGATTAATAACTTAATTAACAAAGAATATATATGGAAGCGGCCATGGATCCAGGATTCCACTGCTTCAGTCCCCCGTTTTAGACCAATGTGGGGTCCAATACCCCACGCCTGGTCTACCAAGTGAGGCCGCTACAGAAGGCAGAGTGGTGACGCATGCGCCCCTGGTGGGTCACATTTCTCTCTTCACCCCATCATGGACATGCCGGAACCTATTAATTCCGGTCCCCATGGCAGGGGCTCTCCCACCTTCCACTCACAACAGGGCATTGATGTTGTCCTTCATCAGCTGGTGATGCAGGCAGACGCATATCCTCCTCCTCCTACAGCACACATTTCAACATGCCCATGACAACGTCTTCAGATACAGCAACAAATTCAGCCCAAGCCTCCTCTACAAATTCTTCTATAGAGTCTGTCACATCAGTGAATATAGATCCTACTGTAAATGCAAACATCCAAGCCAGAGCTAAAGCAGAAGATTCCTCAGGGTCAGACATGAAAGGTGACCCATTTGAACTAAGCCATACAAAATTCAGAGACTCGTAACCAGCAAAAACATCTGTTGTCTTAACCTGTTTTAAGAAAGCATTAATATAATTCTCATGAGCCCTTATTGGCTTTAGGATAATGCTTAGTTGCATTGAACATTTCAGCAACACAGGAATCAAGATCAAGCACAGTTACCGTGCCTACACTTTTCAGCTACATACTAGTCTGGTCCAATAGCATGTACTACCTTGTAAATCGTACATTTACCTAAAGTCGGCTTGGAGTGCAGATCCCTAAACTCTTGTACTGACGGAATGGGCCTCAAAAATTGATCAAACCACTCGTTGCCCACAGCCACATCCGAAACTTGGGGCCACATAAACACCTGGTTGGGTTGAAAGTCCTTCCAAGTCAAATCCTCAATTGTCATTTTCCTACTGGCAATAATCTCTAAACACAAGTGAAACATGTTCATATGCATCCAAGCAGTAACATTATAGACCATTGAGGTGGTGCTATGGCAATTACTCACAAGATAGTCATGCAGTTGTTCCATTCTGACAGCTGATTTACTAGCCAATATCACTGCAAAATCTTACAGTAATAGAACATCTATGAAATTAGCCTAGGTGTAATTAAACTAACAAAAGATGAATTACAAATCGCCCAAGGGACAGCAACCTCCATCTGGAAAAAACGATCAGTTAACAATAAGATATATGAGAACCCTCCACTAAGAAAACCCTGAGGGTGCAGAGCATGTCCTGAAATAATTTTTACTAGCTTTGAAGGAGAATTAACTTTGAGACATACTTAGACACCTTTTGCAAAAATCAGCACAAGCATTTCTCATTTTTGGCCACCACCACGTTTTTTAAATCATTGCATGTAATTTCACAGGTCCTGCATGTGCCAAACCATGATACAAAGACATTAATTTAGTTTGGGCAGAAGAAGGACACAGAAAAGTGCTCATTAAATTCTATAATCCATCTGAGCTCTTCTGCGCACCCAATTAAATCCATTGTTCAATTTCATCTGCATCATCGACTGCATAGTTCAAAAATGTCTCTAGTATGCCCCTCCTCCTGTGGCGATAGAGACATTACACTCACAAGTTTTTTTTTTTTTTTTTAGTTAGTTAGTTTTGCAGCCCACTGGCAGCAGTCTCCAGCTTGATTTCCCTCAGACTGGTGAATCGTCCTTGGAATGTCCCGTGATTTTGATTTTGATTTTTTTGATTCTGTAAAGCCCCTTTCACACAGAGATTCTGGAAAATACACGGATAATGTGTTCCGTGATTTGTCCCGGGATCATTTGATTTTGGTTCATTCACACTGCCAGTGATTTTCCGGAATCTGTGTGTGCATTCACACACATCCCGTAAAGACACGTGACATTACGATGTGACGTGTAATGTGACGTGTACAGTTTCACTAAGCTGGTGAAGGATCTCAACTTCAGCGCGGATAGTGAGGAGCTCCCTGATATCTGCTTCATACCAGTTTGCACATATTTGTTCATTGTGAATGTTGATCTGGCTTCAAAACACCCGGTAAAAGAGTCGCACGATAACGTGCATCGTCACTACGGCACACCCTTTACGGCAGTGGTTCTCAAACCTGTCCTGGAGTACCCCCAGCCCTGCACATTTTGTATGTCTCCCTCATCTATCACACCTGATTCAACTCATCAGCTCATTAGTGGAGACTGCAAGACCTGAAGTGGGTGTGTCAGATATAGGGAGACATACAAAATGTGCAGTGCTGGGGGTACTTCATGGAGAGGTTTGAGAACCACTGCTTTACGGCATTGGTTCTGGCTTTTGTTCACACAGGGCTCGTTCCGGGACTGTTACTAGGTCCCCAACCCGGGATCGATCCCGGAATCAACGTGCAGTGTGAAAGGGGTTTAAGAGGCTTAGACAGTTCAGTATATTCAGACACATACTGGCGGCAGTATTTCCGAAGTCCCATTACTTGCCTTAGACCAGTGGCAGTGTTTGATTTTTGGCAGTTCGACAATGGCCTTAATTCTTACTGGAGTGATTTCTTGGCCATGAACTCTGATGATCTGGCCCAGATAGGTCGTGCTAGCTGTGCTCTCTTCAAATTTACTTTGAAACCCCCATTCAAAACAGTTTGTTCAGCAATCAAATGTTTAAACTTTTTTGGGCTAACAATCAATGTCATCTACATACTGGAGAATGACAGACCTGTCAGATTCAACTGTCTTGTGAACAGGGTCAATAAATGATGCAAGTAACTGGTGAAACAGCACTGGGGAGTTGCAGAATCCCTGTGGCAAATGAGTCCAAGTTGTTGGCTGCTGGTTAAAGTGAATTTAACTTGATCTTCCAGGGGTAAGGGGCAAGTCCAGAAGCCATTAGAAATGTGCAAAGCAGTAAAATAACAACGATCAGATTCTATTTTAATGCAAAATATTTACTGGGTTAGCCACCAGGGGATGTACCTTTGTGGAAATGCATTCAAACTGTGTAGTCAATGGTTAAATGCAAACTCCCATCAAGCTTTCTGACCAGCCAAATAGGGGAGTTGGTGGGGAGGAGCAAGGAACTATAATTCCCCATTTATATAACTCTTGTTTAACCTTTTCAGCTCCTATTCAAGCATCTTTTTTTGGCTTTGGCAACATGCATAGAACCTGGGATGTTAAGTGGCTGAATTTGCGCAATTCCACAATTCCTCAAATTCATCTTTTGCCCAAACATCCAGGAATTTGGAAATTATATACTTCCACTACTAGACTTACAACTTCAGCCACAGCATATCCTGAATCATGGTGGGGACCAGCATGAGATAAGTGAATTGTTTCGTTGCATCCAAGAACAAATTTATCTGCTGAAAGCAAAACATCAGCTTATAGGTTTTCCAAAATATCAGCACCAATGATAGTGCCTACAGTATTTTCACCAACCCAGAATTCTGTCAAGTATACATTATCTGAGTTTGCTAGAATGAGAGGCACGGGAACAGATTTATAATACACTTCTATACCATTCAACTTTTCTGTGTACAAAGAATCAGATGTGGTTTTGAGAGGAACATTTGTGAAAGAAACTGTTGCACCCTTTATCGATTAAGCAGCACTGCTGGCCTCCTAACAATACATGAACAAAAGGACGAAGATCAGTTTTATCACAAGAACCAGAGGTTGCTGACCCCTATTCCATGTTTAACAGTTTCCTAAATTTTGCAATTTCACTTTCAGACAGAGAGGAATTATTTTTCTGTGTGTTTTCCTAATACCCCTTCTTAGGATTTTTACAGAACTTCTCTAAATGGCCAAACTTGCAACAACGTTTACACTTCCTAGAGGGGTGCCTACAATCACGGTGTAACGGAGAGATGCGAGACAGAGGCATGCGGATCCATTCGCAGGCTTTATTTAACAAGAGCGTGGTCAAAACAGGCAGGGATCGATAATAGCGAACAGTGACAGACTAGGCAAGACAGAAGAGTAATCCAGTGAGTGGGTGTGGTCGCTCTCTGGCGAACAGTGTCCAAACATTGGGTAATCCAAAGGGTTAATCCAAGACAGGCGAAATCCAAAAACATGACTAGCTAGACAGGGCAATGACTTGACTGAACTAGGAAACTGGCTCCGTAATAATGCTATCAGCAGAACAGTGATACATGCATACAATACTCGGCAGTGAATGGTTGTTTGAGACTGATTCGTATAGTGGGTGTAATTGGCTGCAGGTGTAAACGTAATCAGTGACATGTGGAAGTCTGTTTAGTGTGAGAGTCAACGAACAATGTCCAAACAGGGTAATCCAAAAGGTTAATCCGAAACACAGGTGATGGTTCAGGCGAGGTGTAAACACGGCTATCCTAGACAGGGCAATGACTTGACTGAACTAGGAAACTGGCTCCGTAATAATGCTATCAGCAGAACAGTGATACATGCATACAATACTCGGCAGTGAATGGTTGTTTGAGACTGATTCGTATAGTGGGTGTAATTGGCTGCAGGTGTAAACGTAATCAGTGACATGTGGAAGTCTGTTTAGTGTGAGAGTCAATATAATCAGAAGGCGACCTCTGGTGCCGAGCAGACGGAAGAATACGGACCGGATTTGTGACACACGGGCAAGATGCCCTTTCTGTCCACATTTAAAACATTCTCTATCATCAGGTGGATTTGTTTCAGCAGCAGACCATTGGCTTAAATTTGAATCATTTTGAGTCTGTAAACGACTCCAGCTCACAGCACACCACTGAAGCAGTCTGTCCCAACTTGGAATGTGGACTCATTGGCCTTAATGCTGTTTTGTTGACTAAGACAAAGAAAACTAAAATACTGAGAAAGACATTAATAAAAGCACGGTCATTTCATGATAACAAACACTTTTCCATTAAGTAAAAAATTACTTTATTGGTGAACACTGTTTATGTGACACTAATCAGTTTTTCAAACAGTAATGATCACAAGAACAATGTCACAGGTTATCACTTATGATTATATGACCAAATGAGACAATAATAAATACGAACTGTATAAAAAGCTTTAAAAACCACCAAGAAGGTCTGAGCAATTAGGCATCAACAAATTAGTGTTACGCTTGATAAATATGCACATTCAACATGTCATATCAAAAGGCATCAACAAATTAGTGTTACGCTTGATAAATATGCACATTCAGCATGGCAAAATGGATATGAATACAAAAAATAAATGTGTGAGCAAGACCATGGTTTGAATACTAATTTCACAGACAGAAAATGAGAATGTATAAGTTCACCAATAACTTGTTTTCTTTTTATTCAAATATTCTTCTGTGGTGCAATTTGAACTTCATCTCAGTTTAAATCACCCTTGAAAGAAGTGTTAAAACTGACTAAAATGGGAAAACCTGAATGTGTTTGCAGTAGACAATTTTTATAGTTGAAACGGTTTTGAACTTGATGAACTGGGAGTTTGCGCTGTTCTATGAGCTCGGGATGCCACTGCCAATGGGAGGAGTGGAGAGAGGTGGCAGTAGGAGACTCTTGAGTTTCACTGACATGGCTGCGATCTCTGGGTCCTGAGTTTCATACACCTTCACCAGCCGGGCGAATTTGAGAACACCTGAAAGGCGAAAGGCAGCAGTTGAAATGACAGCATTTTGTTTGTGTTTACATGTTTGCAAATTTAATCTCACCTTCTCCTTCATTGTTGAAGCCGTATGCTTTGATGACTTCCTGTTGGATCTGAGTGGCCACAGGAAGCACAAGCTGCAGCATCTTGCCCATGTCGTTGCAGGCGCTTTCTCTGGCTTCCTCCATGCGTGCTGCGTTCTCAGGCACGGAGAAAGCCTGGATCACCTCACTAAGAACAACTGCAATGGACGGGACAACAGTCTGGCTGAGTCTAAGTCATGCCATGACCCCTGAGCATATGATTTAGGGACTGACCTCTCACCTCTCGCCTGCTCTACAGTGAGCGTGGGCTGCTGTGCTGGGGCAGAGGCCATGCTGGCTCACTCCACAGGGGAGATTCACTACCGATATCTGCAAAGGCATTTTTGAGGAATTAAACTCTGCGGCAACATGTTATAGGATGATTTATGCATACACTAATCAATGAAGAGCACTACATCAGCTTGACGGTTTGTTCTTCTTTCTTTCCGACAGAACACATTTTCATCAACATGGGAACACTGGCAGCTCTGTACCATCATTAACAAAACATTTGAAAAGTTAAAAAGCTGTAATATCTATATACATAAGTTTGTGAAAACAATTAAAAACGGTCTTATTTGTAATATGTTCTCACATTTGTTTTACTTTTATAAGGTGTTTTTTTTTAATCAAGAAAGTGTGATAATATAATATTTTGACCTGTTTTCTATCTACAGTGTTGGCTATTAAATATTTTTCAAAGTGTGATTTTTCAATACATCAAAATGTGAACTGTAAATTAATTAATAAAAGTATATGGAGCCTACTTTAACAATTAAAAAACATACTGTCCCCGTTTTTTAGTTAAGTTAGATAAATAACAAGTAAGATTTAAATTATGTTATGATATATAATAAAATTTCCCCGGTTTACATTTAAGAAATCTGATCAATTAAAGAAAAAATAAAAAAAACAGCACATCAACGCTTTGGTTCAGATTATGGGCAAAAACGCAATACCCAATAAATAATACTAAAATATACTGAATAAATAGCTGCATAGATTATTATACACGTAATATTGATATTATGTGCTATTGTTGCTGTTGTTATTAGGAATTAAAGCTATGCTGGGTTCAGCTGTCATCTATCAATGTAACGTTAGTTTCGCTTACCGCAAAATCACTGACTGATCATTCTCTCTGAGTTTCAAATGTAAATATATTATTATTTCATACCCAAGTAATATTTTACACATATCTATGCACTTACATCGATGAAGCCAGTACCTAACCACAGCCTCTCCTGTGACGCGACGCCCGCACACTTCCGGTGGGTACAGCCATGAAAGTGTCCGTGTGCAACAACAACTACCATAGAAATAAAATAGAACTGCAATGGAACCTTCAAATCATAAAAAAAATTGGCGAGTCTTTGCGACCAGAAATTTCTAATTCGTGAATCACGATCGGTCTAAATAGTTCTCGTATTTAATCTCTTTGCTCTGTATTTTTAGTCAAATTACTGTTAGCTCCTTTGCTGAAATGTGTCACGTGATAACTGTTATTTTTCACAGCGCTAGTCATTAGGTGCGTTCGACTTCATACGGCGCTGCGCAGACCGATCGGCGGCTGACTTGAAGCAGTGCATGCCGGTTAGAAATTTAGTCCGCCCCGACTGCAAGCTACTCTCGTTGACTGACTGCCGTCTGTAGCGGTGCTTCAAGTCGAACGCACCTAGTGATTTGCATTTACTAGAGATCACGTGCTCGTTGATTTTATAGAGATTGCTGGGCACTTACTGTTTCGTTTAAATGTCTTGTATTATTCATTGGAATTAATAAACTTAAAATAATATATGTTTTAAATGTGATGTTGATTTCACTGAGACAAAAAAAACGTCCGTGAATTGGCGTTTGAGCCACCAAGCGCCCCCCTGGAGGAAACAACCTTTTAGTGTAATAGCAAACAAACAACGGTCATTAGACAGAAGCATTTGCCGACCAGTGCAAAACTAATTCGGAAGTCTGGTAAATAATATTGACATGTGAACGTAGTAGCGATTTCAACGCAGATTAATGAATATATTTGTCCTATGTTTACAGTTTTCAGGTATGAAATATGGAGCGTAAGCTGGCTGAGTTCAGAGCACGAAAGAATGGCCAGACTGAAGCCAAGAAACCTGCTGATCGTGTGATCCAGAGTGAAACAAACGCAATAAGCGATGGTTCTCCAGCAGTGTGTACTGACACACCAGAACAGAAGCCCAACACCTGCCCTCAAAGTCCACACACTGAGGTATGAGAACACTTACTACTTAAAAAAATCAGGGCAGTAACAAAATGACACACAAAACTGCAAATTAACCATGTCATTTTTGTCTAACAAACCTAATCTAATATTTTCCTGTCATTTTAGGATCACAGTCATTATTTGTTGAGTACTACATGTGGTCATTGGCTTCAGCGAGTGGCCCTCGCCCATCTGACCCTGCTTAAATTGCTGCTGTGGCTCGTGCTGCTGGGGCTTTTTTCAGAACTTGAGTTCGGCCTGCCATTTTTTGTTATATCGCTATTCTACTGGCTCTATGAGAGCCTTAGAAACCCAAAACCCCGACAACCTGGAGAAATGAGAGCATATTCTGTGTTTAATCCAGATTGTCAACCCATCCTGGGAACTTTAACAGCCGAACAGCTGGAAGGAGAGATGGGATACAGGCCAATGGCCAATAGATGAACATGTTTGAAATCAAGCAAACTTTGCAACTATCTGGACAATAAGAAAAACAGTCTAAATGTAGATCTGTAAAGTGCACTTGGAAAACTTGTTTGCATTATATTAATGTATCTTAGTAATGATCAATTTACCTGTATTCACATGAAATAAAATTATTTATTTTTATTGATATATATGTATATATAAAGAGATCCACCTCCTTCTGAGTTTGAATAAATAATTTACTGTTTAATCCCATCCAACAAATGAAGATACGCTATGTCACACATTTTTAGTCAACACTCTTATCCAAATTAATTATTTGAGCTCAAATGTATTACTGAGTGACAAGACTTCCTCAAGGAAGGATTCTCGGATTTACTTAGAAAAAGATATACTTTACTAATTAAAGGTCAGAAATAAGACAAAGGTCCTCAATTTGCTCTCAGCTGGACTATCACCCAAAAGCTTTGTCGAGGATGACTATAAAATGAATAGGCCTATACTGTAATCAGCTGAATCCCTCTTTCTGTAAACATTGCATTTATTTAAATGATTTTCTACAAAAGGATTGACGGTTGCATGTGACTGCATGATTTCAGATTTATTTTATGCTCTTTGTCTTAAATCAGTTTAGTAATTTGTCAGAAATCACAAATAGGCCTACACTGATAGTCTACATCACTAAAATAACAATAAGGGCCTAATTGTACACACTTTTGGGGGGCACTAATGCTTTTACTGAAATGTCTCTTAAGTAAAATAAAGTACAAAGTCTGATTTTTGTCATATATTACTGTATATTAGATTAGTACTGTATATGATTTTTTGTGTTTTTAAATTGACAGGAAAACCAAGGAAGCTTGTTCAGCTATGGTAAGAAAATTGTGATTTCTTACCTCACATTTCAAACTTTTTTTTCTAACAACTCTGAGAAGAAAAAAAAAGACTGCGAGATATAAACTCAAAATTATAAGAAAAAAAAAGTCAGAAGAGAGATGAAGTTTCAATTTCCTTGTTGTTGGCAGAAACAAACCAATAAATAAATAAAGCTAATTGCAAGACCGACGTAACTCAGAATTCAGAGAAAAAGTCAGAAGTGCGAGATGAAATGTGAGGATTCTGAAAAAGTCAGAAGTCAGAATTCTGACGTTTTTATCAGAATTGCAAGAAAACAGTCAGAACTGTGGGATATAAACCATTAAAACTATCAACTTTTTTTCTTCACACATTTCATAATACAAACAACAGATGATGAATTTCAGTAAAGTTTAGGTGTGATTTAAGTAGTTCACCCCTCAAAAAAGAAAATCCTTAAAGGGGTCATATGATGCTGCCAAACAGAACATTATTTTGTGTATTTGGTGTAATGAAATGTGTTTATGCGGTTTAAAGTAAAAAAAAACATTATTTTCCACATACTGTACATTATTGTTTCTCCTCTATGCCCCGCCTTTTCGAAACGCGTTGATTTTTACAAAGCTCATCGGTCTGAAAAAGCGAGGTGTGCTAGGCCGGGCTAGCGTGAGGGGAAGCCCCGGCTTAGCGTGCCCTGAGGCAGGGATAGAGTGAGCTGAGGCGGCGGGGTCGAGAACGGTGCGCTCAGCGGATCCGACGAATGAGCGGCAACCACATGTGACGACCCCGGGCTGGTCCTAAAACACAACTCAACGGGCACTAAGACGCTGCAAGACCAGAACTACGACGTAACGTTACATGACGCCTTCCTGTCCCGCGGTGCTGGTGTCCGATAGGAATCCGTGCAGAGAACCACTGGTAAAACTGAACTCTGGTCGCCCGCTGGACAGACTGCGATTAAAGTAAGACCACAGCTATAGATTAAACCGATACTCAATTACTGCTAAATATCCGTCTGCACCTCAACATTGCACGCGATTGCATGATAAACGCGAACGATCATACCACGGTTAAAGAGTTAAGAAGTAACGTTATGTGTTTTATAAATGTGTCACTGTGGTAACGTTAACAAGAAAGAGTATGAGAGTTTTGGGGACGAATGATAAATTATGTGGAAAACAGTGCCTTGGTTCCATGCTAATTGTTCTTCAGCAGGTCTCTTCAAACAGTATGAGTTCTCTGCCATTTTTCATAATTACTCACACAGTTCATGAGTATTGTCAAGGTTGATATGCTTTATCATTGTGTTTTGTGATCAAATAAATACCTGATTCATACAATTACAATTCGAACAAAACGACCAAACAAACAAAAGAGAAGAATTATGATTATTGTTAATTATTTACATTTAGTGATTTAGCAGACGTTTTTATGCAAAGCGACTTACAAATTACAAATGATTATTGAATTAATATTTTCAAACGTTTAGAAAAAAAATCACCTACAGTCTTATCTCAAAACGTGTTTTACTTGTCTTTCCCTCAATATGGGTCACCACTGTTAGATACAAAGATAATGTGTCAAATATTATTATACATATGAACAAATATAGCATGAAAAAAAAAAATGAGACTAGTTAGCCAGAAGTGCTTAAATCTACACACAAAGAAATTAGATAGTTAAAATATAAATATAATAATACAATTATAAAAAAATATATATATATGAAAATATATAAAAATTAGTGGTGTCAAACGATTATTCGCATCCAAAATAAAAGTTTTTGTTTACATAATATATGTTTGTGTACTGTGTATATTTATTATGTATATATAAAAGCACACACATACAGTATAAATTTTGAAAATATTTACATGTATATATTAATATTCATATAATTTATATTATATATAAATATATTTAATATATAAACAACCTATTTTTCTGAAATATATACATGCATGTGTGTGTATTTATATATACATAATAAATATACACAGCACATATGTATATATAAAAGCACACACATACAGTATAAATTTTGAAAATATTTACATGTATATATTAATATTCATATAATTTATATTATATATAAATATATTTAATATATAAACATTAAATATTTTTCTTAAATATATACATGCATGTGTTTGTATTTATATATACATTAAATAACAATAAATATACACAGTACACACACACATATTATGTGAACAAAAACTTTTATTTTGGACGATTAATCGTTTGACAGCGCTAATAAAATTATATAAAATCCCATTCGAGCCTGAGTCATTTCGTGCAAAACAGGTCAAATATGTCAAGGAAAATATTCAGGATAATTTAAAAACAAATAAATAAATAAAATTTCATAAACATCTGTTTTAATCTACATAACATCCACATGATATGTCACATGATGCATGATAATGTCAGTGTCATAATGCTGATAAAATAAAGAAAAAAATCTAATCAAAAATCACTGATACTAAAAAGACAGATCAGTAGTAAGTCATTATTTCAAGTTTTACTTTGGCAAGAATCTCATTCCTCGTAATGATCAGATAAGTGACTTGCAGAACCGTTGTTTTCTGACTTTTTCCCTGGTTCTTTGCAGAAGGTGTGTCTTTCTGAACTGCAGCGAGGTGTGCTTTCTGTTTCAGCCGCTGTGATGGCGAGCAGCCCTGC